GGTGACCTAACCATTTAGCCCCCACCGCTCTTCATCCTTCAGTGTTCCTCTTCCTCTAAGGCATGATTGGACGAAACTTTTGGGGTATCCGTTTGCGTGGAATTGATGGAACAGATGCATTCGTTCCTGATGCCGGAGTTCTTCTGTGCTACAATGTGTATCCGCACGGTGGAATAAAGTGTACACACAGCTCCTAAGGTGACACGTCGGGTGATTGCTGTCGCAGTTCAGCACCTGGTCGGTCATTGTAGGTTTTCTGTACACAGTGGTTCCTGTGTTTCCGTCTGGTTTCTTTTGATGAGGACGTCCAAGAAAGGGACACCATTTTTGCTTATATATATCTATGTATATATATATAAATTAGATAATAAGTAGTATGTTAATGACTAGACAAAATTTCCCTGGAAGCACACGACTGGTTTCGCGGTTCTTGCTGCTCGTCAGGCATGCGTATCCGGTAATATTTTGTCAGTTCATTCATATACCTTTACCGGAATATATATATATATATGTATGCATTCATTCATTTCATTTACGTTCGACAACGAGTCGTAGTTTGAATCTAAACTTTACAATAAACATTTTACAAATCAGTGTACGCCTCCATTCTCTTTTGATATATCTATATATATATATATATATATATGTATATATGTATTTGTATATATGGCATTGCACATGGTGCATCTTTCGTCTCTTACGACCATTCTCGCATCAAGGTTCCTTTCTGTATCTAAATGCTAATATTCCACTATCACGATCCTATGTAGGTCTACATCTGCTTGGGTTCAAACCGATCAAATCACTTGAGCGACATTTCTATGTTCGTCCGGCGCAGTTTCTCTATCCAGATGAAAGCACCGTGCGCGGGAGTCGTCTTTGGTTTACCACACTACTCCAGACCTGTCTGAATAAACAAGTTATCGCTTTGGGTTTGTGTGTTCAACGCAAAGCATTGCCTCCGCGGCTGGTGGCGTTGTTGCCACAGGTACGTATCCACTTCATTCTATGTTCCATTTCACTGAGACACTTCTAGCCAACCACCTGGACTTCTATTAGGAACCCAGTAAGCTACGCAAGGAAACCTACCGTTGAGCTTCCTTACGATTCTGACCATCTCAGTCAATTCGCAAAGCATTGCAGAAAAGTACATGTGAACAGACACGGCAATAAAAAAATCCCCCGGGGTTAATAATACTCAGCACGGTCATTCCGTTTCCACGATCTTCTCTCAGTTGATCAGGAAGCAGAAATTCTGAACAGAATAACAATTTATTTACTTTACTTTACGGCGGCTAGCTCCTCGGAGAGGGCAAGCCGGCTTCATAATATCCATGAGTTTCTTGGGAGTTCGGTACAGGAAACGTTCCCAGCGTCACCCGGCTTTGGGTCGAGTTGGCATCTCTAGCCTTTGCGCATCCAAGTACTAACTGCGAGGCAGCAAGAAGGTAGTGCATGGTTGCCGGTGGCCCTCTGGGGGCTCATACGCCATTGTCAGTTGTTAGCTGAACAGGGATCCATGCATCCCTGATGAGTACGGAGTCGTTATCTGGGCCGCTGAGTCGACTTCGTCAGCATAACACGTACGTTAGACACCGACTCGCCAGGAGTTGAGCTCCCGGTTACCCTCAACCTGGTTTGGTCCGCCTGTCGAGCGGTTTACCGGGGTGTGGCCGCTGTTGTATCCAAACAGCTTCTGGAAGCCACAGGTGAGAGCTAAGCACCCAGTGGAGACCAAAGAACGGAGGATGCCCCAAAGGGGCCAACAGCCCTCCGAGTCAGAGGTGCTACTCGTACCGGGTACGCCATACACTCCAATAACAATTGTTTATCTTCGTCGCACCTGTGTTGTTGTGCCAGGGTCAGAGTTTATCCGTGGGCTTTAGTTGTTTCGGATTTTAAAATTTGAGCATGTGTTTAATAAATGTCAACCGACAAATTGTTCCTTCATACGTGACGAGTTCCGGGCCTGTACTGATACGGCTTGTTAGTTATTTGATTTTCACAACGAAGTTTTGCAGGATAGAGTGGTGCTCGTTCTTTCTTCCCCATTTATCCAATGTAATTTTTCTTATTTATAGTGATTTATGTCTAACAATATATTTTGCTAGAGCCCTGTTCTCTCTCTGATTTACCCGACAGTTTGGATCGGTGTGAATAGGAAAGCTTCGGTTCATGAAATTGATTGTAGGCGGTTTGCCTGTTGTTCTGACAAACAGCTGCCCCATCATATCAGTTTGAATATTCCATGATCTGTTCCCGGATCGATGCGAACAGTGAGTCCTTGAGATCCGTAGTTAGAACACCAGTTTAGGCGAACAATTGTTTTCTATAACTCATAATCACGCCGTTGCACCTCATATGAGAGGATAAAACCTACGGGTTTGGGAGAGGATAATAAGATGATAGAACACGTACAAAAAGTGCACACTGATAGAGTAGAAAAGAAGGAGTTGTTCGTGGGTCTTCTTTTGAGAGCGAAGCTGCTCCATAAGACGGCAAGGCAGTTATCCAACAGCATGAAAGAGCACCATCCGCGTTGACTGAGGGGGTTCGGGATCTATTGCAGTTGCAATTCTCGCCCACTTGATAGCCACTGTACATCGTGTTATCCCAAGTGAAGCATTCCTCTCTGGGTTACACGACAAACGTGATGCAACTAAAAACCCAGGAAGCACATATCTGGGAATACTGTGTGCAACGTATACAAACAAACATACACGCAAAGTGATCCATTCCTCACACTTTATTGTTATCCTCCCAAACTCCAGGTTTTTTCCTCTGATATGAAGTGTACCGGCATGTTTATGAGTTATTAAAAAACAATTGTTCGCCTGAATTTATGTTCTAAATGTGAGTTTTGGCATATTTCGAAATCTGAAACATTCCTTTAGTCCCACTTCTACTCCGTTCGGTAACAAAGAAAAGCCGTCTACAGCAGTAGTTTCCCATTGGAGATTGACGCTTGAAAAGGTATATGTGCGAAGTTCGATCGTATACTGTGTGTTGACCATAGGTCCAATCTCGGTCAATCCTATATATTACCAGCGATCAGTTAAGTTCGCTTCACTGTATTTCGCTGTACGATAATGATGATGATGATTGACTCAAATCAAACAGCTTCAGTGACTTGTAATCTTCACACAACGAAAATGGCATGGGGCGAGATAGATAGGTGGATAGTGGATAGAATATCACGAGATAACTAACTGCGTTTTATAACCCTTCTCAGTGGTGTGTAACTTGTGCTGGTTTTCCTTTGAACTCTTTGTTTGTTTATCATAGGCCGAACAACTCGACGAGGATGGCAATCAAATTACTCCACCCGGATTTCAACTTATTCATCTTCCTTACGCGGACGATTTTCGTGAACTGGATTTACCCGAAGTCCCACCTGGTGAGTAGTTCTTCTGTGTATGTCAACCCGGTCGGTTGAACGAGAAGAGGTACACTTGTTCTATCTGATTTTGAAAAGTCGGGTCTGATTTACGGTTATCGGAATTGGATCGCGTTCAAAATGTGGACCCAGTCACAGCATTTGTTGGAGGAATTCGCATCGAAAAGACATGCACACACGCACGCACGGCTGCTATCTCATACCGCACATGTACATATTACGCCCCAACTAGTGAGGTCACATTTTACTATACACGTATGAATCTTTCAGAGTTCGGATTCCGAAATTGCGACCACCATCTCAGTCGAGGGATTAGTCGGATACAGTCCCTTAAATCTATTGACTAATCAGCTCAGCAATATAATTTTGAAGGTATTATATCTCAATCCTCACATCCTGGTTCTCAGTATGGTTACTTTTTTCACTGAGTTTGGTTGGCGACAAAAAATCATTGAGCAAAACGACAGATAATTGCAAAAGAAAAACAATTGTGTGAAACATGTTCACATGTGGAATATTTATGAATGACACTTACCTCATTCTCTTAGTGCCTATTTCCCCAGGGGCGAATTGGAAAATCGTGATGGTTTGCACGTCAAGTCTATTACATGGTGTATCATCACAATATGCAAATGCAGACTTGCTTTTTGCTAGTCGTGTATGTTTGGTGGATCTAGTTAGTAATTCATGAATTTTAATCTTTTCTACCATCCGGAAACCATTGTCACAGGTTACCGTTGAACTATGAGCATGTGATGCTTCATCCATAGATTTATTATAATTTACACTTAAATCGATGCTGTTTCTCTTTATCATGTTGTGCCTCCCTCGGTGATTCGATGACAATGATTGTCGGACAAAAAAACAACCTAGCAGCAATTTCTCACTTCAGCTAATCAAACAACTCCTTATACCAGTAACTGTGTACGATCTTCCCATCGGGCTTACATTGGACGAGGCGACAGTGCTGAATTCGACTGTGTCTCTGTCCGGTTCTACCATTACGTGGTTTCAATTAGTGCATTCTGTCGCCAGAGTGCATTCGTTTACTTTTGGGGCATGTCTCATCTTGTCCGAGCGTTTAAGTTATTTTTACCGGGTCTGTGGTTTTGGGGCTGCAGAGAACAGAAGCAATTACAAAATCGCAAATAGTTTTAGCGATTGTTTGGTTAGGTTATCATAATTGCGTCCGAACCAAACGATAAACAACAGATTGCTGTTTAGTTCGAATTATTTTGTTTGGGAGATTAAATTCCTGTTTAAATTGTGAAACGTTCAGTAGCCTTAGTGTGACTCAAACTGAATCACGGACCCCATATACTCTTTTGTACTATTCACGCTTACGAGCTGTGAGCGACCAGGCCGCACCGACAGCACTGATATTTTCAGTTTTATATCATCACTGGAACTTGCCGTTTTTTAGCAATTGGAACACGAGACTTCAGTCTGGTAAATAATGCAGTTGGAAACAATGAGCCTTGTCTTAGAAGTTCATTCGGCTGATTCCAGTCGCTTCTAAAGGAGCCTGTTTTGACAGTGGCCTACCGTGTTACCTGATTGATGCCCCTTTTACTTCTGTTCATCGGATGGGTAATCCAGATGTGAAAGATCAGTATTGTCTTTGTGACCTCGTTGCTCAGCGGGTAAAAGCGCACTGCACAACAGCGTAGGCGGCGTCCATGTATGGGTTCAAATCTCGCCGAGGCTACTGAACGTTTCACAATTGAAGCAGAAGATTGTTGTTGGTCTGCTACTCGTTTCCGGAGTAATGCTTTCGTAAGGACGAAATTCATCGTCTTTCTATCGGGGAATTAGGATATCTCAACCAGATCTCGTTAGATTCACTCCGGGTTTGGTAGGTCGTATTGGGAATCACTAGAGTGAATCGAAGTCAATTTGTGTGTGCTTTGGCAACGCCGTGCATTGTCACATAGTGTCTTGCATCTTGTTTTGTTAACCTCGGCAACTGTTGTTGTTCAAATAGTACACCTGTGCGACACATCCCGTTATTGTCCATCTTCGACGGTTATCTGACCGCTTTTTTGATCCATCTTTTGACCAATTCTTTATTCCAGTATTCCATTTGTATAATCGTGCACCAGTCACAGTAAACAAAGACAACATGGTGGTGAACACAAATTTCGGGCAAAGTGCTTGAAAATCTTTTAAACACCCAGATTGTTCTTGGTTGCACCGCCCCGCACCTCTTTATGCTGATTTCTGTTATCCTCAGTGCCCTACGGAAAGTATCAGTGTCTTTTTACTTATTGTTCTCGTCTATAAACATTTGGCTTTAGCAGAATGTTCTTCTTTAATATGATGGAGCATGGATATTCGGTTGCCAGGCATTCTTTATTACTATCATTCATTGTAAAGCGTAGCCATGACAGGTTGTTCATCGAACGTACTATTTATTTTGATAGCCCAAAATGATTCACAAAACTTAAGTTCATTTTAATCGTATGATATGCCACCTCTTCGTCGCTGTTCTCGACCCTATAGGACCTTTTGAAACATCATTCCATTCCGGTTCCACCCACCTCTCGGTGTATGGTTCCATCGGAAACGATAAGTTCACCACGACTTTGTGTAGTACTTATTGGGATTCAGTATGTTTATATCGGTTTACTCGTTATCAATGATGTCTAATGTAATAAGCCCCATCTTCTATTTAAACGAAAAACTTAACAGAAGTTAATTTGGGAATTTCAGTTACGTTGTACAGACGAGACGAGGTGGTGTAATGTTTCTTTTAGTTTATGATTCGGCGTCTGAGTATCGCACTGATGCTCAGGAGAGCAGAGCTGTATGCCACCGAGCGCGTCCCTAGGTCGCGGATAGGGGAACGACCGTCATCTCACGGCTAACCGTGAATGAGGTGGGCCTCGGCCTTTTCGACGCATGTCGGTCTATTCCGACCGGCAGCGAGCATGATGAAATACGACGAGCAACGAGTCGTAACCTCAACGTAAGCCTAAGCAGAGACCGCGAGATCTGGTGGACTAAACGCGCGTCAGAGATGGAACATGCCGCCGCCACGGGAAATTCCCGTGAGCTGTTCCGTCTCATCCGGGCCACCGGTAGGAAAGCCTTAGGTGTGAGTGAAACGATCTGCAAAGCTAACGGAGCACCTCAAAGCACAGTTTAGCTGGCCTCTAGCGTCAGCTTTTCACACAGCTATTCTTGCACATCCCATGGTCTGTCTCAACAGACCCACCTTCTGAGGCGGAAATCCGTAAGGAGATCCAAGCATTGGGACGTCACAAAGCGCCAGGTTCCAATGGCCTTACCCATGCTCTATTTAAAGATGGTGGAATAAAGCTTGTTAGAGAACTCCACGTCCTGTTCTCGAAGGTTTGGAACACTGACCAGGTCCCCCCCTCGTGAGGGAGTTGATTGCCGTCCTCATCTTTAAAACGGGTCCGAGCAATGATTGCGCCAATCATAAGGGTATTAGCCTGATCCCAATAGCGTCCGTCATTCTTCGTAGATTAAAAAAACGCGTGAAGAACATGCCCGCAGGTAGCAGGCTGAGTTTCGTGCCGGTCGTGGTTGCATCGATCAAATTTTCACCCTCCGACAGCTGCTTAAGCACCGTCATGCCTAGCAAAGACCAACGATCATTTTATTCTTAGACATTCGCGCGGCCTTCGACTCTGTCGATAGGACCGCACTATGGAACTGTTTGTTGAGGAATGGAGTACCTGAGAAGTATCTGTCGATCCTCAAAGAGTTGTATCGTCATACCTCAGGGCGAGGTTAGGGCCTATGGCCAGCTTTCGCCA